CCTAGGAAATGGGTTTCTGTCTGCCAGAAAGGGCGTGTCCCTTGACTATGTCTGTGGTTACATATTAAAACCTATGCTAGCCTCTAGCCAATTTCGTTCCCCATTCACATGTACATACCTGTAATGCATTTCAAAGTCCACACTAGCCTCCTGGCCTTTCCCACCTCCCAGGCTGCTCTAGTTTACAGTTATCCCTTCCCCCATCTTCTCATGACCCTTATAAACCTGCATTTCCCCACAAAAACCTTTCCCCTAACCATGGAGTGGCCAGTTCAGTGATTTCTTTGCTGCACCCTTACTTACACATAGGGATATGATTTGCATTTTTATTCAAAAAATGAAATCTCTTAGCTAAGTGTAGGGGCACTGCGTGTAATCCCAGTGTTTAGGAAGCCAAGGGAGGGGGCATCGACATTTCAAAGCTGGCCTAAGCTATACAGGAAGGCCTTATCTCAAAAGCAAAGCCTATTTAAAAAAGTAAACAAGTAAACTTTTTTTTAAATCCCAAGTCTTCCTCTAAAGAACATAGACCTGCCTGAGCGATGGTGGCACACGACTTTAATCCCAGTACTTGGGAGGCAGAGGCAAGTGGATCTCTGTGAGTTCAAGGCCAGTCTGGTCTATAGACCAAGTTCCAGGACAGTCTCCAAATCTACACAGAGAAACCCTGTCTAGAAAAACAAACAAATAAAAAACACAGACATGGAGGGAAAGGTAATAAATATAGTTTGTGTTTCTCAGAAATAGAATTAAGGGTGGTGTTAACTGAAGAGCTGCACATATTTTCCAGTTTTACATAGAACCTCTAGTATCTTCTAACTGAACAGTTTCCGAACATGTTCTCTAGAAATGTATTGGGTAGGGTTTTCCACAACTGTCTTGTGCAAAGTTAAGAGCATCCCTAATGCACATAAGGCCAGAAACAGACAGTTTCACGGTGACCAGATGAATTCCTTGATACCACAAAGGGACTTCTGTAGATGCTGATTGCCTTTGACATTAATAGGAGGGCAGGAAAAAAGCACTGAAGTGCTGGGGCCCAATTAAATATGCCTGTTGCTGCAGGGACCGCATAAGCTTACTTTGAGGTTGACCTTTCCTTTGCTTCTCTTGCTGTTTGGCTTGATAGCCCTCCATTTCTAAAACGGGAATACTTCAATGTGCTGACTCTCCTTTTGTTTCATTGCCATTCTCTAAGTTGTTTGTCTCTCCTACTGTGAACTCAGGCTAGTTTACTGTGTTCTCTCTGTTTCTTTGATTATCCCAAGATTGAAACTCCTAAATCAAGGTTTCTAAAGCCCTGACAAGGTGTTGAATCACATGCACAAATCCCAGAAATAATCCAAGCTAAAACATATAATGGCTTCAGGCTCACACTCCAGAGCCCCTTAGGGGGCTGACGAGGGACTCATCTCAGCTTTGGGACATATCTAGCTACAGGACTTTGAGTCTTCTCTAAGTAAACAGGACAGTTGATGGTCTTGATATAAAACCAAGGATTAAAAAGGGAGCAAGATAGGTTAGGATACTGTAACTCAGGGGGCAGAGGCAAGGGGGCTGAGTTCAAGTCTCACCTGAGCTACAGAGAGAATTCAAGGTAATAATGAACAAACTAGTGTCCTAGTTAGGTTTCTCTTGCTGTGAAAAAAAACACCATCATAAAAAGCAACTTTGGAAGGCAATGTTTGTCTTATAGGTTACAGCCCATTATTAGGGGAAACCAAGGTAAGAACTCAGGAAAGAAACTTGGAGGCAGGAACTAAAGGAGGCACCATGGAGGAGTGCTTCTTCCCAGCTTGCACTTCCTGGCTCGATCATTTGGCTTTCTTATACATCCCAGGACCATGTGACCAGGAATGGCACTGTCCACAGTGGGCTGGACCATTGTTCATCAATCATCAATGAAGAAAATATACCACAGACTTGCCTACAGTTCATGCTGATGGGAGCATCTACTCAGCTGAGGGTCCTCCTTCCCAAATGAACCTACCTTGTGTCAAGCTGACAAAAAACTAACTAGGACACTTGGTTGTTAGGTCTCAAACCCTGGACAAATGGCTGACTGAGGTACCTATTTAACATATCAAAACAGACCTAACTGCCATGTTCTCCCAGCATCTCTCATTTCCTACCTATGAAAGGGTCCTTCTGGCTGGCATACCCCACCCTCTACCCCAAACTTCTACAGCCAGGGGTTGGGCTACCCCTTCCCTATATAATCCAGCCAATCATAGTCATTTTGGCTATGCCAGTCTTTTGACCGCGACCACCCTTCTTGGTCAGTGGCTCCTCTTCTCTCTTCCCTCCCTGCCTCCTCACATGGCCCCGCTCATGGTCATATTCATTCTGGACTCTCCCAGATATCCCTGCTGCAGGCCATGCTCTACCTTTTATTTACAAAAACCCTTCTCCTCTACCATACTTAGAAGCAGTCATGTCCTTCCTCCTTCTTTCTTTATGCTCCCCCCCATCATCAATGAGACAATTTCTCAAAAAAAAAAAAAAGTAAAAGAATGCTGAGGATTTAGCTCAGTGTATGGGCCTTGGTAGCATGGGTGAGGCCCTGGATTCAATCCCTAGAACTGAAAGGAAGAGAGGGAGGGAAGAAAAGATGGTGTAGGGTATTCTATTATCCAAGAGCACATTGTCCCTCTCCCCTTGCTGGATGCTGGGTGCCTCTCAGGAGTCAGCCTGGCTTCTGATGCCTTTATCTCTGATCACTTTTGTCTCTAACTAGCTGGATCAGCTTTGGCCTTGTCTACCAGAGCCTAGGGCATTAATATGTACAGTACAGTAGGCACATTTCTCATTTTGATGGCCCATGAGATAACCTAAACAAAACGTTCAGCCCACACTGCAGGCCTTCCTCGTTGGGTGACTGGGTAAGCCGTGAGAATGTGGAGAGAAGACCTTTAGATAGCAGAAGCCCAAGTCACTGTCCACTGTCCATATCAGCAGGGTCAGAGGGAAGGCAAAGAATGCTTCTCACCTTTAAGTTAATTTCTAATCCTACCCTTTCCAACATGGGCCACACACTCACGGGACTTTCCCCTGTTTGAGTATTTGGCTTAAGTCTTAACTCACTGAGCTTTCTTTAGCTTTAAAGCTCTTTGGTAATCCCTCCTCTTTCCCATTATAGATAGAACCTTCCAGAACAGAAAGCTTTGGATACTTTGCAATCTGCTCAGAAAGGCGAGTGGTACAGAACTGTGCCCTGTGCTGGAGTGAGCCACGATGGAAGCTGGCATGAAGTTTACTATAGCTAGATGAAGCCAGATCCAACAGAGAGAGCAATGCTGGAATTTAGAGAGCAAACTTTCCAAAGTACTCTCTCTCTCTTTTGGCAGGCAAAGCTACCCCATAGGCTGGTGTTTAATTGTCAAATAATCCTCTTCCATGTCCCTGCAGCGGTCACAACATCAACTTTAAAAGGCCTGTCAGAGTACAAAGCAACTGGGCCCCTGGAGGCAGAGAGGTTTGTGGGAACTTGAGGCTGGGGTGCCTTTAGCTTGGTCTCCATGCTCCTCCCTGCCTCTCAGATCTCCCTGGCATTGTGTTCCAGCCACAGAGGCTGACTTTGGGGTCTCTCTGGGGCAAATCTTTTTCTTCAGTGCTCTGGCTTTCACTCTGGACCTTCACCACCCCAGGGGGCAGTCTACCCAATATCCTGGTAATTTGCAGTAGCTAATCTGTGCCTAGCTAGCCCAGCAGCTAGGGGCTTCTTAGCACTCCCAGCCTGGGCTTCTCTGCAACTTGTCTGTCACCTATTGTCCCACAGGAGACTGTGAGCCCCAGCAAAAAGACAAACTGTGCACCCCCAGCCATCACCAAGACACCCCCATGGGGCCTGGCATGGGAGAAATACAATAAACATGTGTGGTAGGGATTCAGGAGCCCAGCAGGATTCTCTTGGCTTTCCTGTCCCTGGATGGGGTCTACATCCTGCACATGGTTCAAAACGGGATCCTGGGAAGGACTTCCGTTCTAAGAGCCATCAAGACAAAGGTCAACCTTTTAAGGGTCATTGCCTCTCTTTGGGTTTATGGCAAAGTCTGTCTACTCTACCCAAATTATTCTGTGCTAAAAACTCTGCTTGGAACTCTGAGACCAGGAGATTCTTAAGGGCAGCAATTAAAAACCCCCCTAATTGGTTATCCAATACCAAGTGGTCAGCTCTGACACCATACACAGAAGAGTAACACTAAACAGACCCAGCCGGTTGCATTTATTTAGTTTGGTATATATGAAGAATAACAACTAAAAGAGGCCATTATTTTGAAAGAAAGCAAGGGAGGTATATATGGGAGGAGTTGAAGGGAGGAAAGGATGTAATTATGTTTTAATTAAACAACACAAACAATCCAGGCTTAAACAATTGTAGAGAAAAAAAGTTTCAGTACCACAACGTCTTAGAGAACTTTGAGTGGGAGAGTTCTTGGATTGCAACTTTGGTAAAAGCAAAACAAAACACAAGCGTAGTGTGTGTGTGTGTGTGTGTGTGTGTGTGTGTGTGTGTGTGTGAAAAATTTCCATCTATTTCCAGCTCTGTGAACTTCTCCCTCTTTGAGGTGTAGGTCCACACAGCTTTTCACACTTTTCTCAGGTGTAAATGGGGGACACCTGGCAGTCTGACGAAC